CCTAGGATCAGACTCTGATAAATAAGTATGCAAACAGACATAACTGCAGGAACCAGGACAAGGGTAAGGAAACAGTGAGGTAAAGGAAAAGAAATAACCTGAAGGAGAAGAATAGTAGGCAACAGACCTTAAGAAGGGAGATTTGGATAAAAATTGGGTTAGATTAGGGGAGGGGGGAGGGAAGGGTATATGAGAACCCTAGGGGATAAGGAGAAAGAAGCAGTTCAACAGAGGTAGGATTATGGGAGCAAGGGTATTAGTAAGGAAGAAGGGGGGGAAGTGCAGGCACCTTAAGTGGGAAAACCATGATAGAGGGGTGAGACGATACAAGAGAGAAACAATGCCTAGCTAGTCATGAAAACCAGAGGGAACCATATTATTCCTACAATCTACTGACAAATTATACATAATAGATCAAGAAAAATATCTCTAGATAAGGTTTATTTGGGACCGACTGGTCATTGCCCAGGATTTGTCTGCAGGACACACAGTGATTAAGGGTGCCAGAGTGGTGGAACTGACCTTCTTGGATGTTTGGCAGACATGCCTTGAGATCTGTACTGGTTGGGTCAGAGGGATTCGGGGGACACTTTTTGCTCCTTGCCCTCCTGGGTCGATTGGTTCCCAGGGACTATGAGCATCGCGCAGAGTGTCCTGTAATGGTGGTGGGTCGTCTGGCCTCTTGATCAGGGAGGCCGAGGAGACCCCACCAGATGGACTTGAGCCAGTGTCCAGTCTGTAGAGAGGAGGGTCGACACGGAGGAATCGTTTCCTCCATGCTTCCAAGAGAGGCCAACAATGGTCGAGCAGGACCTTTGACTTATCCTCACATGGATGGAGGTGGTAAAAGAAAGGAGCCAGGGGCTCCTCCCAACCCCATGGGACCCCTGAGGAACAAATCCTCTACCATTATTGGTTCAGTATGATTTAACATTGTGCAGCCCCTTCCACGTGGAGGTAGTGATGTTGCACTTTGAATAGTTCCTCAGCTTGTTTTCTCTGACACCCGGAAGCTGTCTTTCAGATGCTTGCTTTAATCTCACCTGGAAGTTCCCAGGCAGTTCCCAGGCAGAAGCATGTTGATTGTACTTATTAACTGTTCTTATAATCTAGGATTCCAGGACTTCAGTCTTGAGAGAAATTGAAACTGCTCTTTCCATTGTCAGCGTGAGCTAAGCCTAAACCCTTTGAGTCTCCAGCCTGGGAGAGTTTTACAGGCACTTACATCCAGTCTCCTTGCACGGTCAGTGCTTCAATGTTTAGATTTGTTTTCTTAGCAAAATTGTAACCTTATTAGCACAACCAAGACTGATAACTCGCCTTTCTTGTGTGAAGGAGCTCGCTCTTCTTGGGTCTCAGCAGTGTTACTTGTGAGGTGGTTTTAACACCTTCCTCAGACACAAAGGCTCAAGCAACTATAGCAACTGGTAACAAGGTCCAGTGAGAGAGCTCTACACTCACAAATGAGAGTGGAATAAGAATAGTTTTTACTGTTAGAATGTTCTATTCACAGTCATCTTAAACATAAACACGTTGTATTGTAACCTATACACTTGGGCTCACTGTGAACTCCTCACCTACTATCATCTCACTTATCAGCATGCTGAGTGTGAACAATAACAAAAGTGCCAACAATGTGAGTCTATCAGTAGATTCTCATATTGAAACCATAGGAGTGACTCCATCAAAGGAGGCAGATGAGGGATACTGGTGAGTAATCTCACAGACGGTGTGGTGAATCCTGAATTCCCTGGTCAGGTCTCTGAGGACAGAGGTGGGAGGAGAGTCTTGAGTCATACTAAGGCATTTTCCCAATTAGCCCAAAGGCCAGTTTTCTCAAATGAGAAAGAAGAAAACGTTACTGTGCTTTCCTTGAAAACAAACAACTTTTGATTTACAAACTAGATAGATGCTATCACTAAGTATGTTGTTATTAAATAAATAATTTTTAAAAATTAAAAAAAAATTTAACATTCAACAATATTTATAAAACAAGATACTGCTAACAATTAAGTCAGAAATCTCTAGGAGGCATGTAAATTTTCTATGTGAAAATTAGTATTATATTTCACTTACCTTTTCAAATTTCAGTTTCACTGGTTTAGGATTAGTAGCAGTAACAGCTTCAGCAATTTCTTGACCAATCTTAAAAGACTGCTCCTTAGTGGCTCCTTTTAGCAGCACAAACATACTAAGGGATTAAAAGTATAGTAAGATGATGAGGAAGTCATTTTAAGTACAGAAATTATCAAGAGTAACTTCCTGGGTGATAAAGTGGCTTAAGCCAATGATCACCTATTTCCTCCTTACATGCTCCTTATTAAGTTGCCGCCTATCATAGCTTTCCTGTTTTATTACACTTTTCTTTGGGTGCTTTGTTACAGCTTTTAAAGGCATCTAGTATTTGTAGCTTAGCTACAAACTCAGACACTGAAACTGCCAAGAAAGTCCTAGGATCATCCCTGGACACTTAAGGCTACATATGACACACAGTAAGTCAATCAAAAAATACAGTATTTTAAAACTCTATTCCTGGCCCCAGAATCAATACACAATTGGCTTTCTGTTAACTACATATTAGCTTTTTTTTCCCCAAAGATTTTGTAAAAATGGAACTATACCACATATACTCTATTATGTCTGGCTTCTTTCACGCATCATATCTTGAGATTCATTTATGGTGTTGGAATAAATAGTTCCTTTTTATTATTGACTATTTTATTGTAAGAATATACCACAAATTACCAATTTATCACTGAATAAATTTCCAAAGAAGATTTATATACATGTTTTTTTCATGGACATATTTTTTTTTTTTTGTCTCTTTGAGAAAGGGTCTCCCTGTAGCACCAACTGGCCTGGAACTCACTATGTAGACCAGACTGGCCTTAAACTCACAGAGATCCGCCTGCCTCTGCCTCCCAAGTGTTGGGACTAAAGGTGTGCACCACCACGCTGGGCTTGGACATATGCTTTTAACATCTCCTGGGTAAACATAAAGAAGAATTGCTCATTTTTATGCTAAGGGTATGTTTAATTTCATAAGTGACTGCAAAACTGTTTTTATCATCAAAGATAAAACTTTATAAATTTTCAGAACCAATGATGAATGCAAGCATTTTAAAAACAAGGTGCACAAACATGTATTTCTGTAAGGTTTAAGAACAAGTAAAACTAAGCTTTGTAATAGAAATCAGAAGTAGTTGCATGGGGTACTGGTGGGAGAAATGAGAAACTGATTGTAGAGGGGGAAACAGAAGAACACTTTATGGCAAATAGAAATTAGAATGGTGGTTGGTTATGCGGGTCCATATATTGTTATAGAAAACAACATGCTGTACACTTTTTTGTTAAAATTATATTTCAATGAAAGTGAAAACTCCACGTGTATGTACATACACACATGCTACCCAAGCATGTCATATTTTTCATTTTACCAAATGGGCCGAGCGATCACAGCATTATGCATACACTTCTAGAATAGCACTCACCTCTATGTTTTCTAATTTTTTCCATCTGTCTCCTAGAGCACTTACTCTTCTGGGTCATACATAAGAAAGCACATACTGTACAGTTCTGTTTATATAAAATTCTTGAAAAAGTAAAACTAATTTACAGTAACAGAAAGTAAGTCATACTAATCTGTGGGTCAGAAGTAAAAAAAACCTATAGATGTGTATACACACACACACTCTATACCTTGAAAGTTATGACAGGGTACATATATGAGATTTTTACCCAACAATGTTAGTGGGCTTGTTAGTGGATACACTTTTGGCTAATTTGATTTGGAGCTAAGTTTCAAGAGAGCTGGCCAGGATTAAAGAGAAGTTTTGATTACAATATGGGAGTAGTCTAAAAATGGAAAGAATGTGTTTACCACTAGTATTGTTTTTAAGATGGTCTTGCCGTATAGTCCCCCCAGCCCGGAGCTCACTACATAACTGGTACATTTAAATAACATTCATCTTTGGGTTAAGAGGCTCAAGTACACATTTTGAGTAATGATTTCCTTATTGAGGAACACTGAGTAGGGATATGAGTATTATCTAAAAGGCTTTTCTTAATTATAGTCTGATGAATTTCCCAAGAGATTCTGATTGTAGTTTGATACGCTGGTATTATATCAATGTCTCACTGAGAATCCTTCCCTATCCTGCCTGAGACTCACTATTACAAATAGCTCCAGTCATTGACTGAAGCAGGATATAACCCACTGGGTGGGACCAATGATTGTGAAACATAACTAGTTGAATCACTATAGTATATAGTGTGTTTATTTACACACTTTCTAAATGGATTGCAATAAAAATTTCTTTAGAGGTAAGTAGCCTCCTAAGTTCTTTTGATACTCTGGTAAGTGATCCTTCTCAGATGGGACCCAAATTCTTTGTGAATCATGAGCCCTGAAATTGAAGGAGGCAATGGTCACTCACCATCCCTTATCAAGTTCCTTTATTCTGCTGATGAAGTATTTGAGTCTCAGAAAAGCTAAGTGAATTAGAGGCCATGTAATCAGCTAGGACTAGAGTTAGAGATTTCAGATCTCCTTTTCACTTTCCTTTTATTTTTCATTCCACCAAACATTATTTATTATCCTTAGGGCAGTCCATCTTCTAACCTTTTATCATCATTATTATCCTCCTGAGGAAAAAATTACAATTAATTTTCATGACAGTAGTTATTAAGGAATAATATATTTGGAGAATTTTTTGTACATCTAAGAACTTATCTGTACTCTGCTGGGGTGGTATTGTTCCTGTCGAAAATTAATTGCCTTTACACAGATTTCAAAAACATTTAAATAAACCAAGTAATGAATGATGATCAAAATGACACTATAAATAAATTTGACTGACTGGGCTCTCAATATACCTATAAAATATGCCATACAGAGAAGGCACTTGCTAGGACTCAAAACATGAAGTGCAAATTTATGTCTTAATTACTGACTAGTTATGTGCTCCGAGACAAATTTTTTACCTAAGGAGGATTTGTTTTTAAGAATTATAAGACATGCTGGGTATGGTGGCTAATGCCTTTAATCCCAGCACTTGGGAGGCAGAGGTGGGCAGATCTCTGTGAGTTTGAAGCCAGCCTGGTCTACATAGCCAGTTCAAGGCCAGCTGGGGCGATAGGGAGACCCTGCCTCAAAAAAAAAATAATAATAATTTTAAGATGTATTTTAAGGCTTCCTAAGGGTCTGAACTTTCCAACAGTTTATAAACTGCTAAATAATATCAAAATCATTTTCTAATTCTGAGATCCTGTATTAGATTTTTTTTTGGGGGGGGTGTCTTTTTTGCAGAACTTTTAGGGAAATTAAACATTTAAGTTGTTGCTTTTAATTCAGAGTCTGTAAGTATAAGTTGTTGACATACAGAATGATGATTCTGATGAACTGTTATTTACCATTTAAGCTCTTTAAGAATTCAAACAAAAAGCTGGACACGGTGGCGCACACCTTTAATCCCAGGACTTGGAGGCAGAGGCAAGCGGATCTCTGTAAGTTCGAGGCCAGCCTGGTTTACATAGTGAGTTCCAGGTGGGCTGGGGATACAGGAGACCCTGTCTCAAAGACCCCTGCCCTGAGAGAGAGATGTCAAAAAGTAAAACAAAACCCAACCCAAACCAAGAAAACCCCAATTATAAACCCCTAAATCTCGTTACCTGTCAGTATCTCCATAAACAACCCTAGCACCCCATTTCTTGGTATCATTCACTAATTTTATTGCTCGTTCCAAGGTTTCTCTGGCTTTGTGAACGATACTATCACCAACCTGTTGATGCAAACACATTGGAAATAGTTTCTTAACATGGTTCAATAAAAGTCAATAAATTTTAACATAATGCTAAAATCTTAGTTAAGGAAAAAATGTAAAAAAATAGCAATCAGTGTCATCACACAGTCAAGAAAATGATTTAAAATAATCAATGAGTATAGACTTGCCTTTGAGTGTTATCAGGAAGTATAATGGATTGCACACTTAGAAAAGATTTATTTTTATGTGCATGAGTGTTCTGACTGCACGTATATATGTGTGCTGCATGCATGCCTGGTACCTGGAGAGGCCAGAAGAGGGTGTCAGGATCCCCTGACACTGAAGTTACAGGTGGATGGGAGCTGTTATTTGGGTTCTGGAGCAGAACCTGGGTCTTTTACAAAAGCAGTAAGAACTCTGAACCACTAAGTTATCTCTCCAGATTCTGACTGCATACTTTTACAAGGTTCTTATAAAGAATTGGCTTTTGGATGAATAAGCCTTGTTTATTCAAAGCTCTTCTTTTATACTCTTCTAACCAATTTGGCCACAAATTACTTTGTGTTGGGTCCAAGCATATGATTGGCTATCTCTTTAAAAAATATTCTATGTTTATGATAATGTATTTAAATACTGACTTAATCTCTGTGGTTGGTTATACACAAGTTTTGGAAACACTAAGTAAAAGGAAAAATGTATATAATTAAATGATGGAAAATAAATAACATGTTCAATTTAAATAAAGTGGGTAGATAAAAATGCCCACAAGGGTTCTTTTGTTGGCAACCAATGACAAACAAAGATCATGGCAAAGCTGATGAAAGAGGGATACTGGGCCTTAAGTATTATGACACACATTCTCATTACACTGTAGAATTAAGTAAATTAAGGAGACTATATAGCATTGTTGTTACACTTATTAAACTCATTGAGGTTAAAGATGGAGAAAATTACCATTCAACTTAAATAGAGCTCTCCCTGTACAATTTTAAAACAAAAACTATGAATTTTGTCTTTTGTGTGTTAAGCAAACAACAGTAATGATGTTTCCCTTTCTACAACAAAATTAGAATTTTCCAAACTAAATGTAGCATTGAACAGTATTTAAGAAAGCTATCTTGTGGGGGCGTGGTGGTACACACCTTTAATCCCAGCACTGGGGAGGTAGAGGCAGGCCCATCCCTGTGAGTTCAAGGCCAGCCTGGTCTACATAGTGAGCTCTAGGCCAGCTGGGGCTACAGGGAGACCCTGTCACAAAAAGCCAAAAAAAAAAGGGGAAAGCTATCTTAAGTTGTACTACAAAGTAAACATTAGCGTAACAACAATGGGATAAATAATAAAACTGGGAGCAGAAATTTAATTAGAGTCTAAATTAGGATCATAAATTCTATTGAGACTTTGAGTACAACAGAAAACCTTGAAAATATGATCTATAACTTAATATATTAAGAACACTAAAAATCATATTGCCTAATTGGAACTCAGAAGTTAAAGAAAAAAGTTCAATATGTCCCCTTATTGCTACCTTCTTTCCTCCTCCCTGTCTCCCACCTAATTCTAATTAAAAAAAATTATTTATGTGAAGTTGGGGTGCATGTGTCTGTGTGTATGTGTCCCCACGAGGCTAGAGGTTGATGTCATGTATCTTCCTTTGTCACTCCTCATCTTCTATCTTCTTTTTTGAGGCAGAGTCTGAACCTAGAATGAGGGATCCACCTGTCTCCACTGTCCCCCAGCAATGGGGTTACAGGCATGGCTGTGCCCACCTTTACATGGGTGCTGGGGATCTTGGGTCTTCACGCCTCTACAGTAAGCGCTTTACTGGCTGAACCATTTTCTCATCCCCCTCCTTTTTTGAGATAGAGCTCACTATACAGCCCATGCTGGCCTGCAATCACTATACAACCTAGGTTGGTTTTGAACTTGTGATCCTGTCTCAACCTTCTGAGTACCCAGATTTTAGGTATTGCACTACCATGCCTAGCTCCTTACTGTCACTTTCAAACAAGTAAACTTTCTAATATATGAGGGCAAATGACTATATGGGTAAGCCACCCTAGTGTCAAAGTCATATATACTCTATAAATATTTGCAGATAAATGCATAAACTTTCTGACTGTAACTGTCTGTTTAACGCTGCTTGTTCTGACCTATTTAAAAAAAATTTTTTTTTGTCTTTTTGAGACAGGGTCTCCCTGTAGCCCCAACTGTCCTGGAGCTCACTATGTAGACCAGGCTGGCCTTGAACTCACAGAGATCTGCCTGCCTCTGCCTCCCGAGTGCTGGGATTAAAGGCGTGTACCACCATGCCTGGCTTGCTCTGACCTATTTAAATTAGCAGTTCTCCTACTTAAGATCTGGGAAATTCTGACCTCTTGGAGATGCCCCTGAAGGAAGGACACTTGGCATCCACTCTTTCTGTGTGTTCACTAAAGCACAGTGTATGTCCAGAGTCAATAACTAATTTGCCCCCTTTTTAACATGCCTGATAGCTTACCCTTTTACTCCACTGTTGCTGCTAACTTTTCACTTGTTTATTAGTTTTTGAGATGTTAGCTGCTTTTTCCACAAACGATTCCACACATAAGTTAACACAACATTGCATTGTAAAGTTGTATTATGATGAGTCAAACACCTATCTGCAGCCATTAACCTCAGAATATCGAAGAGCATTAGGATAAAGGAGGCAGACAAGTGCTTGGTGGTCAGACTTTACTATACTAAGCAGCACTGTACTTCCTGGCATAACTCTACTCTTACTTCTACTGCTAGTTCCAGATGCCTCAATTCTGGTTATTGCAAGGCTAAAATATGTTTCATAAATATTACTTATAGTAGAATTTATCCCCCAAAGTTCATGAATTAGAAATATAATCCCCAGTGTAATATTGCTAAGGGGTGAGTCCTAGAGGTGATTAGAAATGTGGACTCTGCCAACTTGAGTGGATTAATGTAATTAAAATCTAAGTAGATTAGTTGTTACAGGTATAGGTTCTTGATATAGGTAAGTAGTACCCTCTTCCCTTTCTTGCCGTACTGACTTTTCAGAATGGATGACGTAGCAAGAAGGCTTTTACTAAATGTGATTTTGACCTTGGATTTCTTAGTGTCAGATATTCTCTTAATAGCAGCATAAAATAGATTATTTTGTTATCAAAATATATTAACAATTTTAAAACCGAGAAATAGGGAATAAAGTAAGGAAACAGCCTAAAAATAGATTTGATATTCTGGCTCTACAGTAGTAGCATTTTCATTTTTCTGAAGCAAAAGTAAAATATATAATAAGAACCCATGGGACTGATAGTATTTTTATATCACCTATGACTAAAGGAACATAAAATGACATAAATTTATTGTTTATAGGTCTCTAGGAAAATTACAAAACCAAACAATTCATCTAGTATGAACAAATATTATTAAAAAGTTCATTTTTTTCTTTATATATAGTATTTTCTTGTTATCAATATGAATATGCCTTTGTATGCCTTGAATAGATTTTTTAAAATTTTGTTTTACATTTATTTAGTGTGTGTGCTTATGTCTTGATGTGTGCAAGTGGAGGTCAGAGGAAAACTTGTGGGAATTCATTCTCTCCTTCCATCATGTGGGTCCCAGGGATTGAATTCAGGTTGTTAAACTTGGCAGCAAGTACCTTTACTCAATGAGCCACTGGTACTTTAAAAAGAATTGTACTTTTTGCATGTCTGCTACAGTGCACACATAGAGGTCAGTGGACAGCGTTTGTGGAGTGGGTTCTCTTTCACTTTTATATGGGTTCTGGGGATTGAACTATCAGGCCTGCATGGCAAGCAATTTACCTGTTGAGCCATGTTATCAGCCCTTGAATAGGTTTTTGAAGTTCATTTTGCCTATTGTGAGTTGTGAGGACTTTACTCTTCCCCCTAGTTTTCACTTAGTGAAGTACTATAAATCTGGTACATCACCTCCAATTCTCATTTGGCAGCAAAAAAATCTTTTCTACAACAAATCTGTCTTTTCTCAATCACTAGTAAATTTATGCTCTGTTGCATTATATTACATTCATATCAAATAAACATCTTAAATTAGTCTCATTCTTTGAAAACTTTTCCAACCACAGTGATGAAAAGAAAGGTTTTGCCTTATTTTACTGGTACACTAAACGAGTATGTTACCATTTTTCTTTTCTTTTTGTGTATGGCACATATGTGTGTACATGTTCGTGTGTGTGTGCGCCAGAAGTTGACATTGGGTGTCTTCCTTAATCCTCTCTACCTTATTTTCTGAGACAGGGTCTTTTACTGAACCTAGAGCTCATCAACTTATTTAAACTAGCTGGCTAGTAAGCTCCAGGGATCCTTTTGTCCCTACCAAACCAGCCCTCAGGCTAAAGGTCTGAGTCTCCTTTTATGTGGGTATCAGATATCTCCACCTAGGTCCTCATGTTTGCACAGTAAGCAGTTTACTGACTGAGCCAACTCCCAAGCCTGTGGAATTATTTTTCTTTATTCTAACATTTGGACAAGCCAACATAACTATAAAGAGGCTTCTATCAATATATTGAGGGGAACAATTTAGTATCAAAGTTATTGTAAACATTACTATAAAACTGCCATTGAAACCTCAAGTTAATAAATGGATCCAGACTATGCATATATGTGTGTATAATTTAAAAATTATTATTGAAATAAAGGCACAGAATTTTCACAGAAAAAAAATCTCACAAATACTCAAGAATATGCATGCTTATAGACTCAGTTTAATTAAAACTAATACATCATGGGAATGAAATGCTTTCAAAACAAAATACTTTGATGGACATTACTTTAATGCTGTTTTACTCTCTTTTGAAAACAACATTACAGATATGTGTTACCTCAATGCAGGGCATTCTTCCAGAGAAATTAGCAGCTGTATAGCCAAATGTAACATTTGCTATCAGCTTTAGTCCTAGCTGACGTGCACTGAGCATTCGTGACAGGGCTCTGTCTTGCTTGTAAGCCTTCATTGACTGCTTTACCATTAATCTAGTCTTCAAAATTTCTTCAAGCATTCTTGGCAGAACACCTTTTCTTACTGAAGGCTATCAGAAAAGAAAAAATTAATATATAAAATCTCTCATATATATATATATACACATACACATACAGACTGAGATAACTAAGAAGGAATCACAAAGTATAATAAATGCCCAACTCTTATGAATTGAAACATGCTAGTAATAGAATGGCCATAAGACTAGCAGCTGTCAATGCAAAATCATTATTTTATTTCTTTTGAAGAGGATTTTTCTTTTAAAAGGTTCCTGTTTAGAAATCTAATATGCAACACTTCTGTGTGAGCTCCAAGAGCTCCTGGAAGGAGAATGTCAACTAGTGCATAAGTAACCATATAACAAATTCAAAGGGAAATGCTGTTCAAACTCTGATTGAGACCCCCATCCTTGAGAAAGACACATGGACCTTGTATCACTCATAACCAACCTTAGTTTTAAAGATCTCACCCTAATGACCCCACACAGTACTCTGCATGGAACTCCATTTATCTACCTTGGAAGAATGATGAGCTGGGTTGACTCTGCTGACATTCAAACCTGTAGTTCCAGGGACTCTAGGTATTTCAAATCTGATGCTTAGACCACTAAGCCATCCCCTCCGGCCTATATTTATTAGAAATCTGGAAGAGGGGATGAATAGTGAGGTGATAAAATTTGTTGTTGCCAGAAAAAAAAATCATTTGTATTAATCAAGACTAGGGAGAATTTATGAGAACTCTGGTAGGAATAAAAACCACAAAACAGTATTAACTCTGATTATTCACAGACCGTGCAAAATAATGCATGTTGAATTGAACAACCAAAACTTCAGGTATAGGATAATCACACCCTTGAATATTAAAAAAATCTTATTTTCATTCAGCTTTACATACTAGGCCAAATGTAGATAAGGTTTTAAAAATGCTATTAAAGGGAGATTAAGAAAAGAAATAGTCTAGGCATATGGCAATAACATAGTCTAACTTCTAATTCATTTGGCATATCCTTTGAAGCAGCAGTAGCTTTCCCCCTTTGTTCTATCATTTCTTTTTTTAAAATAGTAATTATTAGCACATATTAATTGCACAAATTAATGTTTCACTGTGACCATATATACATGTGTGTGTGTGTAGTGTTTTTGCTTTTGAGGCAAGGTCTTACCATATAACTATGGTTGGCCTGAACTGCTATATAGGTTAGTTAGTCTTGAATTTACAGAGCTGTGTCAACTTCCCAGGTTCCTGGATGAAAGGCAGGCACCAGTACACCCAGCCCTTGTGTTCTGTTGTATACACCCTACCTATTGCATTCTCTCATACTCTCTTTTCATTCCCCTCTCTCTGTTCTCCTCTGCCTTCCCTAATAGACCCTCTTTCTACCTTCAGGTTCTCTCTTCCAAATCCCTAGTTTCCACATATGAGAAAAAAAAATGTGATATTAGTCTTTCTGTTTGGGTTATTTTGCTCAACGTGTTAAGTCTCAGGTTCTATTCATTTTCCAGTAAATGACATGACTTTGCTCTTCATATATGGCTGAATATCAATCCACTGTGTATAAACACATTTTCTTTATCCACTCATCTGTTGATGAACAGAATGGGCAACTACACCGATTCTATAGTTTGGCTATTGTGAATAGTGAGGCAATACAGGTAATGCAGGTATCTTTACTGTCTGCTGACTTTGTTTCCTTTGGGTATATACTGAGGAGTGGCAGTGGATCACATGGTGTTTATATTTTTAGTTTATAAAGGAGTTTCCATACAATTTGTCACAGTGGCTATATTAATTTATATTCTACCAGCAGTATATAGTAATGGTTTCTTCAGTTCTCTCATCTTCGCCAGCATGTGTTGTTTTCTTGATGCCAACTATTTTGACTAGCGATCGCAATGTAGTTTTGACTTATATTTCTCTGATGGCTAACCATACTGAGCATGTTTTCTTATTTTCTTTTGAGATCACTTATTCATTTACTGATTAGTATTTGTTCATCTGATGTTAATTCTTTTGAGTTCTTTTTATATTTTGGCTATTAATCCTGTTGGATGAATAGCTGGCAAGGTTTCTTCCACTCTTTTTACTCTTGATTGTTTCCTTTGCTATCAGAAGCTTTTATTTCTTTGTTTCTTTTTTTCCTCCCCCTTTGGTCTTTTTTGAGACAGGGTCTCCCTGTAGCCACAGTTAGCTATGCAGACCAGGTTGGTCTTGATCTCACTGAGATCTGCCCGCCTCTACCTCCCAAACTCAATTAAAGGTATGTGCCACCACACCCAGCTTTATCAGAAGCTTTGAAATTTGATGTAATCCTATTTGTTAATTCTAGCTTGTATTTCCTGAGCTATCTGAGTCAAAGGAAATTGCCTATGTCAATTTCCTGAAGTGCTTTTTTTTAAAAAGTACTTTCAAAGTTTAAGGCCTTTAATTCATTTTGAAGTGGTTTCTACATGTAGATAGCCAGTGTTCCTAGCACCACTTATTGAAGCGACTTTTTTCCAATGTATGTTTCTGGCACTTTGTCAAGATTCAGATGGCTTAGATACATGGGTTTATTTCTGAGTTCATTATTCTGCTCCATAGGTCTATGTGTTTGTTTGTATGCTAATACTACACAGTTTTAATTACCTGGATTTGAAGTATATTTTGATATTAAATTTGGTATTATGATGCCTCCCCTCCATCAATATTCTTTTTAATTAGAATTGGCTTTCGCTATTTGGTATCATTTGTACTTCCAAATAATTTTAGGGTTAAGTTTTTCCAGTTTTGTAAAGGCCTCTGGCATTTTCATAAAGACTACATTAAATCTGTAGTTTGCTCGTGGAAACATTCAAGTTTATCAATATTATTTCTATCACGGACATGATAAAATTTTTCCATCTAGTTTCTTGGATTTCTTTCTTTAGTGTTTTATAATTTTTATTGTAGAGGCCTTTCACTGCTAGGCTCATCTTTTACTTTTTTGTGTGGAAAAAATGACTGGAAAACAAATTTTTTTTAAACATGGGGAGACATTTAATAAAAAAATTAATTTTTATGTTTACAACTAAATTTTGTCTGTATCAAACACTGGAAATATTCTATTCAAAGAAAAAATTTTTGGTCTTTTTTGAGACAGGGCCTCCCTGTAGTCCCTGCTGGCCTAGAACTCCCTATTACAGACCAGGCTGACCTTGAACTCACAGAGATCTGCCTCCCTCTGCCTCCCTAGTGCTGGGACTAAAGGCATGAACCACCACACCCAGCTCTACTTTAAAATTTTCTAAGAAAAGAATATTCCATGAACTTTTTGATACAAATTTTCTTTACATCTAAATTGCTAATTATAGTTTTACATTATCTCTTACTGATAGAGAATGATACTTTCAATAAGTACACCAGAATGAATTTGAGGGCTGGTGGTATCTGCTCTATCACCAAACACCCTTGTCTTTATAATTCTAATACACATCCACTCACTGCCAAGGAAATAGAAAAAGAATGAAGTTGGCATAGAAGAGGCAATATAATCTCCTAAATTTCTATTTTCTTAATTCATTTAAGAAGCTTTCCCCAGTCTCTTTTTGAGGAGAAATCAAAGAGGAAGAAAAAGACCCTATTGTTCATTTGGGTGTCTTCTTAAAAATATAATCATTAAATATACTAGAGTATTATTATGTCTAAGATAGGCTCAGTTTAATTTTAAATCATGGAGAAAAACAATCTGTAGCATGTACACATTAAAGCAATTTAAATTTTTGTATAGTATCTTTTAGCCATCAAATTGCTAATTATACTTGCCAGATTTTAGCAGAAAGCAGCTGCTATAAACCCATTTATTTCAATGCAACAATTAAATGTAACAATTAAGCTGGGTGTGGTGGCACAGGCCTTTAATCCCAGCCCTTGGGAGGCACAGGCAGGTGGGGTCTCTGTGAGTTTGAGGGGAGCCTGCTCTACCTGGTGAGTTCCGTGCTGGCTGGGGCTAAAGGGAGACCCTGTCTCAAAAAGATGAAAAAAAAAAAAAAGTAACAATTAAATCTAAATCTTTGGTTTAAATCTAAATTCAACCAAAACAAGATGGCTGTTTTTCTTTGAAATAATTTCTTAGAAGATTGCTGTTTTTGACTTTATGAGGTAAAATATTCAAGTAAATGTAGACTTTTTGTTTTCTATAACGTGACAACAATTTGCTCTCCAAAGTTAAGCCACAGTTGATTACTTTCATTTATAAGAGAGTATTACCTTGACAAAAGCTATTCCATTGGGGGACACTGTGATATCATGCCTAATTTGGTAAAGCAAATCTGGAGGTACTCTTAGAGAGGTACAGCCAAATTTGAACTCCTCATACCTGTTAAAAAAGAAAATATTAAGCAAATACTTTCTTAAACGACAGAATAGAGCAGCTTTTAGGCATCTCTCTAATTTCACCAGAAATTCATTTTCAAACTCTAAACGTGAGTTCATGTACTTAGTAATATGAGTACTCGGTTCATCACCAAAAGCTCTCTAATATACACTGTTTAATAAAAGAGACATTTCCTAAATTAACTAAATTTCAACTTAACATATAATCATGTTATATTAAGAAAAATTCAAGTAAAAAGATAAGTTAACTCCAAATTCTCTTAATCAAAGAGGATTACTGATAGATACAATTTCCATAAATGATCCCTGTTAAGAGAGTATACCAGGCTAGACCACAACACCTGATTGCAAAATCATCAAAAAGATTCTGTATTTCTTGTAATTCAAGAAAAATATCCCGTTTGAGAATTTAAAATGTTTTTTTAAACTTTAAAAAAATTTGTATTGAGAATTTTATACATGCATATAAGGTGTTTTGATCAAATCCACGCCCACTCCCTTTCCTCCCCTCCAACTTTTCCCATATCTCCCAGTCACTTTTTTTCTGACAACTTCATCTACTCTTTCTTCTTTTTTTTTTTAAATGGGGCTTTTTACTACTTTAACATCTCCCCTCTCTGAAGAGGTAACACTTCTCATTCAACTTACATTACTTAATAGATGAGTTAATTCTAGCTTTGAAAATAATAGCCTATTTCTAAGTATGGAGGAGATGACAGTTGGCATTATTAAATCATTATTTTCAAACAATTCCACTGAAAGCTCAAAAATAATTTTCAAAAAATTAAACATTAATTTTATTACAATTAAAAATAATTTTCATTCTAAAGGAAGTTACTGATTTATGGAGAGTAAAACAGAAAGGTACAAGGCTGATCTATCTTTATTCATGACCCTCTTCACATGAACAATTCATTCATGAAACTGAATCATATCATGATCCATGTCAATTAGTAAGTCAACTGTAACAAATGGTTTAGCTGTGCTATAGCCCAATTCATTTTACTCTTAAGAATGGTGTGAAGTACAAAGACATACAAAAAAAGTGTATAATTTTAACACATATAAAGACCAATAACATAACTGTAAATACGAAAAAGAAATCTTACTTTCCCAAATTCTCCACATGGCCAAGGCAGGTGGAAAAACAGTAGTTATATGCAATCACAATTGAAGGATATAGTGACTGGAAATCCAAAACAAGTACAGAGTTGCTATAGAAGCGAGATTCAGGTTCCATAATGAGGGGAACACACTGTGGGGCTCTCATTTGGGATCTCTGCTGAATACTAGGTGTCACAGGTATATAGTTCATTGGTTTAGCAATACGCAACATCATTGATTCCACACGGTACTGCAAAGCAGGAAGGGAGAGGTGAGAAGAGAATGTTATTTAAATAAAAATATACTGGTCACTTGACCATATGATAATATTTTGGGGATGTTTTCCCCCTTCAGATTAAGATGGTTGATTTGTTTTTGTTTTTTGAGACTCACTATATAGCTTGAGCTGGCTTGGAACCTGCTATGTAGACCATGTGAGGCTGCCCTTCATCCCTATGTACCTGCCTCTCTGCCTCCTAAGGTGCTTGGATTCAAGGAATGCACTACCACACCCAGACAAGACTGCATAATTTTTTTACATTATAATTATACAGTATTTTTAGTCAATTTTTGGGTGTCATTAATATTGACTAATATCTATTAGGAGTTGGAATAAGCAAATTTAGAAATGTAAAGCATGAGCTACACATTCTTTCTTGGTTTCCCTGCTGCTAAGAGATGTTTTTAATCATGCAAGGTTTGATTACTCTGGTATTGATTAGATAGTGATAGATACAAAGTTAAAAAATAAATCATTTCCTGTCTGGAAAGATGGCTCAGGAGTTGAGAGCACTTACTGCTCTTGCAGAGGACCCAGGCTCAGTTCCCAGCATCCATATTAGGTGGCTCACAACCACCTGCAACTTTAATTCCAGGGAATCTGATGCCCTCTGAGTCAGCTGCCACCTGCATGTACATGGTGCACATAAACTCACAAGTGTGCACACAATAGATTTACATAAATAAACAAATCTTTAAATAAAAAATCAAATAATTTCAAACAGTTCAAAATTAAAGAGCATTTTATATATATACTTTTTTTTTTTTTGGTCTTTCTGAGACAGGATCTCCCTCTAGCCCCAGCTGTCCTGGAATTCAGAGATCCGCCTACCCCTGCCTCGTGAGTGCTGTGTACGCCACCACGCCCAGGTAGCATTTTAATATAATTTTAAAGGGTACAAGAAAAATTTCTACCTGTGAACCTCTTGTCAGTACATGTAGAAACTGAATGCCAAAAAGTCTGGCCATTTCACTGGTTTTTCCAATTAGGTCCAGCTGTTCTAACATTTGCAGATTTCCACGGACACGGCTAACATAATGATCAACCATTTTCCATCTGTCAAAAAATAATCCATGTCATAAATACAAGAAAAAGGCTGTTTTCTGCCCCAAACCAAACACACTGAAAATAAGGTTACTTAAGGGAAGAGTCACACTATGAATCTTTACACAAAGTATATTAATTAAGGAGTTAAATGTTAAGAAAATTTCAGGGAAATGAAACAGTAACAATATGTAAATTTTAAATAGTACTTATGATAAGCTTTTGAGGATAAGGGAAATTAAATTTTTTCTTTGATGCTGATAACTTAGTTCCAGTTCTCTACTTCAGTTGGCAAAAATGGAATTTCTTATCCCAGGGGTAGTAAAACATGCATTTTATGGGCTGCATTTAGGGGGCTCAGCAGTTAAGAGCCCCCTCTTCAAGGCTGTGCTTGAAGAGAACCCAGGTTCAGTTCCCAGCACCCACATGGCAGCTAAGAACTGTCCATAACTCCATTTCCAGAGGCTCCGATACCCTAATATGCAGGAAAAGCACTCATAGAGATTCAAAACTAGAGCCAAGCAAGCACTCTATCATTGAACTATGGACTTTATTTATTTATTTTTATTTTTTGTGGTCTTTTTGAGACAGGGTCTCCCTGTAGCCCCAGCTGTCCTGGAACTCACTATGAAGACCAGGCTGGCCTTGAACTCACACAAATCTGCCTGCCTCTTGGACTTTCTCCCTTATACAGCTATTTTCTCAACTCAATATAATTTTCTCTTTAACTTAAATAGTAGGGGCAATAACTTTCACTTTCAACTATGATGCAGTAACAAGTCCTGGACTAACTTTCCTGCCTCGACACAGAGTCAAAGTAAAAGTTTTTGGGCAAAGAACAATAGGCAATGAAAGACTATCTTGGGAAAGGAAACTTAAGAGGTGACCCTCAGCTTAATATAGAGACAATTTCCTAAACACAGTATATAGCATACTAGTCTAGGCAGAAAATGGCTGTCTGAAGCCAAGTAGAGCTTAAGAGTTCAGGCAGTTCACAGATGGAAGTGGTAGGATAGGGCACCAGAGATAAGGAAGCTGAGCAAATGACAGGAGTTGGGAGTCAGAAACAGAGTTCCCTGTGAGTAACTTCCTTATGCCTGAGCTGAAAATAAATTTAATAAAACCGTAATAGGTTTACAAGAAAATAGCTACAGGCCAGAGACTTAACAGAGAGACATCTGAATTAAACAAAATCATATATCAAATGGACTTAACAGATATCTACCGAGTATTCCACCCAAACACCAAAGGACATACTTTCTACTCAGCACCCCATGGAACTTTCTCCAAAATCGACCATATACTGGGGCACAAAACAAAGCTCAGCAAATACAAAAAGACTGAAATAATTCCATGTGTTCTATCAGACCACAATGCAATAAACCTTACAGTCAACACTCGAAGAAGCCAATATCACCACATGAACACATGGAGATTAAACAATACACTCCTGAATGATGAATGGGTCAAAAGAGAAATTAAGAAAGAAATAAAAGTATTCCTGGAATTAAATGAAAAGGACAATACAACACAACAAAACCTCTGGGACACGCTGAAAGCCGTTCTTAGAGGGAAGTTTATAGCTCTAAGTGCCTACATCAAAAAATCAGAAAGAACACAAATAAATGACTTAACACAGCAACTCAACACACTTGAAAAGCAACAGCAAACAAAACCCAAACCCTGCAGACAAGAAGAAATAACAAAAATCAG